TGGTCAGTTTAATCTGAGCTCTGATTAGGATATGGCACTCGTGTGTGTGTTTAAGTATTCAGAACCAGTGAGGATCATTTGTGTGTTGTGGATGTGGCCTAACAAAACGTCAAACCTGGACCATAACACAAAAATAGACAGATGGATAAACAACACACGCACAGAATCAAGAACACACGCAAATAAGGGAATAAAGAATGATATTTGTTATTTAGCTTAACAAGATTTGTTGTTTAGCTTAGTTTACGTGATTCAAGCTGTTGAGAGCTGTTCAATTATTTTTCCCCAAAGTGCCGTCTTTGTTATTTCAGTGTATATAAACTCATTTTAGTTCATTAATGTCGAAACAGAAGCCTGCAGTGTCTCAGAACGGCCAATATAAACATCCACCAAACACAACACACGTCACTGACACTGAGAAAAAATCAGTACACAGCTCCTATCTACTTGAATAGGGAAAGACCAAAATATCAAAAACTGACTGTAAAAATTACGTTTCGAAAACATCAAACCAACAATAGCATAATATATTATCTTTGCATAAAACCACAATGAGTTCTCCCATTTTAATTTTTTTTTTTACTAGAGGCCCGTCTCTAATATCAGAGTGCTCAAATGCATGTTTTGCTAAATGTTCTATTTGGTAACACTTTACCTGAAGGGGTGTACATAAGACTGACATGACACCTTCATAACCATGACATGACATATGTCATGAATATGAAGTAGGGTTTATGCATGTTTATGACAACTGTCATTAAGTGTCTTTCGCTCAATAATGACATTTTGAATGCAAATATGACATTGTTTAAGATGTCTTTGTTATGACACCTTGACATAAACCATAACATCATAACCTGTCAGTGTCTTTGTCATGACAACTTGACATTAAATTAAGTTAAAGTGTCATGTGGTTGGTTTTGACATTGGCTGTCATCAGTCCATTATAACTGTCATGAATATTTTTCGTGACCTCAACTACAGTGGTACAAATTGAATTTGTCATTAAACAGTTATAATGGCTTCATGACAGCCAATGTCAAAACCAACCACCTGACAGTTTAATGTAATGTTAACCAATAAAGCTAAGTGGTTTCTTAAGTTTGATAATTAATCTGCTAGGTCATGTTTATGACAGGTTGTGTTGTCTTAGTAATGTCAAGTTGTCATGACAAAGACACTGACAGGTTATGATGTATTGGTTTATGTCAAGGTGTCATAACAAAGACATCTCAAACAATGTCATATTTGCATTAAAAATGTCATAATTGAGCGAATGACACTTAATGACAGTTGTCACAAACATGCATAAAACTTCCTTCATATTCATAACATGTGTCATGTCATGATTATGAAGGTGTTATGTTAGTCTTATGCACACCCCTTCAAGTAAAGTGTTACCTTATATTTTTATACACAATAGAATAATAAGTGAAAGCATCCTTAAAACAAGATAACATTTTAAGCTTTTTGCAATGGGGCAAACACAACTTTTTCCTTTATATTAAGCTGCAAATTCAGTTTAAACAATTAAGATGTTTAATTCTATGGATCAGAAAGAAGGTGTCATATAAAACTAGACCACAACTATTTTGGTGTAAGAAACCTTATGAAAATAACATTGTAAATGGGCTAAAGGGGAAAATAAATAAATAACCATATGAAATTAACAATGGTCTTCAGGAGAAAATAAAATAAATAAATGGACTTTATGGTAAATAAATAAATATTAATTAATAAATGGACTTTGCGTCGAATGAATGAATGAATTAATAATTAAAAAAATGACTAACCTTAAGAGATGAACCTTCTAAATGGACATATGACCATCTGTGTGAGTTGATCTGATGGTAAGTGAGATGAAGTACAGCAGTGGCCCTCTCACAGCGAACACAAACCAAAAGAAATCAATAAAACAATTCACTGCATGTGCTTTTAATTAACATGGAGTCTCTGTGTAATCTACTGTCATATATGAGAATCAACAGAAAGCCTGTAAAACTCGAAATCTCTACCCAATAACTGCAGCTAAAGCCGAGTTTGGCATCTCCACATAACTCTCCAATAAAACTCAAGCGTCCTCCATTAGCACTAAAAACAAGGCCCACAGACACACACACACACACGTGAACACACAAAACCGTACAAATGTCTGGTTTTTGAGTGTCTTGCTAAAAAAAATTTAAATTCTCTGCTGTTTCCGATTTACACAAAAGCAATTTAATGAATAAAATCACTCATTACCTACAGTCTGCTGTAATTACGAATAATAAGAGGTAAAACTAATCCCTAAACCGCAACATAACCTGGTAACCCAGACTAAAGTGCATCACCGCTGTGCAGGAAACTGGAAATATATTATATAATAAATATATATTTATGGGGCTTCAAATAAGAATATCGGTATACGGTCAGAATACATAACTGTTGTTGAATGGCTGGACTCAATGCAAACACTTCAATCTATGTAAGCTAGATTTTGTGCATGACTCGAATGTTTCAGAGTGCAACTTATGCAACAAAAGTGTTTCTTGAATTGTCAGTGTTGTTGCAAGCCTTCTCATGAAGGCTTCTAATGAAAGTCTAATGAAAGCTCGACTATACTGTCATGACAGAGAAACAGTTGGAAGAGACATTATGCCTACAACTTCATAGCAGCGACCTGATATGGACATTTGATGGAAACTCTATCGCCGCCTTGATTAATGAGGTTTGGTACTTCCAGAAACATACTCAAATGTGAAATGCCTCACCAGTGCATTGCAAGTCTGCGGCCTCATTGAACATACTAAACATTCCTCTGTAAACTAATAAACCTGGCATTGTATATTGTGAATATTTTTGGCTCTTTGACAAATAGCTTTTGTAAGTATCCTTTTGTAGTGGATAAAAGCGCCTGTTAATTGCATAAATGTACTGCAGTAGTCAAGTGAGCAATGTCGTTGGTAGCTGCTATAAACATGTTTATAAGATCCAAATTGCTCGGCAAGGTCCTTCTCGAATGAAAACAGTTGACCTGAAAGCAAAAACTGACTGGAAGAAGACTGAGATTGCAACATTATTGCATTGACACATTTCAGAAAGCCACAATGCATGAAATCAAGCTCATGATAGAAGTGTTTGCTTTCACATACTTGCATAGAGATGTGTGTACAGCAGATAAACCATGAAGGTCTGTATATCACACTTCAATAAGTATGCACACACACTGCTGGTTTCAGATGGTGCTGATGCTGGTATAGTTCTATTAATACTAAGCCCCAGTAAAACTAAAAGAATGTGATGTAATATACCATTACTATTAAAACAACACTGTATTTGAACATAGGTGAGATGAAGTCAATTGTCTTACATATTTAGGCCTACATGTAAGAATTTATTTTAATTGTAAAAAAAAAAAAAAAAATCTGGATTACACAGTTTTAACATTATAAACCTATTGCGTACTTGTCAGTCATAAATGAAAGATTGTAAGATTTTCTGCACTAATAAAAGCATATCATAGTTTGTTATTAATTATTTGCATCTATTTTCTTTTATGTAGAGAGGACGAATTATGCTTTTTTTTTTTACATGTTTGAACACAAAAAAGGTCTTCAAAGTTACAAAGTTGTTCTCTATATCACTGTTTCTGAATCGTGGACCCGGGTTGGAGGGCTAAGCCCGAATTTTGAACATTTGAATTTTGACTGTCCCAAATATGCATCACATTAAGTTTATTGGTTTGTTTATGTTAGAACTGTGTAATCTAAATGGATGGAAATTTTATAAGCAATTCAAATCTTACATTTAGGCCTGTATCTGATTTTCTCCCGTATTCATAGTGTTTGACACAGCTCATTTATCTGTCCATCACTGTCAGTCTCTCTCTCTCTGTTTTCACTTCCACTAGACCAATCCATGAGTGTTTTTCTGTCACCACTGGGCACACTGAGTCTGGCTGTTATGTGTCAGCATGTGCGTGTGCGTGTGTGTGTGTGCGTGTGTGTGTGTGTGTTTCCCATGGCTTGACAGTGAGACAAAATTTTCCATTAGTGGACGAAACAGGGAAACAGGAAGCTGGCACACACACACACGCAAGCAAAACACACACTTATTCTGGTCCCAAAACACATCCCGTACCATTCAAAAGTGTGGACAATTGTGCTCCACTAGTTCTCTGCATTTACGATAGATTATGAGTGTTTGCGATTCTGCAACGTGACAACACTGGGTCTGAGAGATTAGTTAGCATACGCTTTCAACCCGACACGGCTCAAATACACCGTTATGATGCGAGTCTGAAGGTTTTATCTTTCATTAGGTCTTAGCCTTCACTTATTTATCAAGTCATGACGAATACATGTAAAACAAAAACAAAGCATTGTATATATATAGATGGTTTCATTTTTTACTTTCTTAGTTGTCTGAGCTTTCTTTAAATTTGTGTGAAGGGAAGATTTTCAGTGGCATTTCAAATTTTATTTTGTTCCTCACACAAAGCTATCAAATCTCTTGGAATATTATAGGGACCATATTTATGGTCGTTTTTGTCATGTTTGCAGCTTGAAGGGTTTTTAAAAAAAAAGTATGTTAAAAAAAAGAAAGTGCAACAGAAGGCATTATTCCAAAATAAACATTTCAAACCGTAGAATGCTCTATTGTAACAAGATCTCATGTTGCATGGTAAATTCAGTGAGTGGCATTCAGTTATCACCTTGAGAGAAAATAAATAAATGATACTTATATTAATAATAATAATTGTTATTGCTATTTTATTATAAATACATACAATTTATAAGAAATAAAAACTAGTTAATCAAAAATAAATAAATAAATAAATAATAAAGATTTCAAAAAGTAGAATGCTCTATTGTTGTCACATGATCTCATTTTAAATTCAGTGAATTTAAAAAACAAGTACTATTTCCTATATCTTTGTGTTCAAAATGCATGTCATTTTTTTAGCATACTATTTATTTATTTAGCCAATTCCCAAAGCAGTGCATGCATGTTCTTACTTCTGTAAAGAGAGGTTGAGTTTGTCTGTGCTGGCTTTAATCTTATTCTGAGCCTCAAGGTGGTTCATGCCTTCAGTGCTGATGCCATCGATGGACAGGACCAGATCTCGCACAGCGACTCCCGCTTTACCAGCCTTTCCTCCATCCGTCAGCTGAAAACACACACAGCTAATGGTCAAAACAACATAGTGACGCATAGAGAAGCCTTCAAGTGCCAGATGGAGACTTCTGACTACATGGTTGTTAGGATGCTCAGATAAACAGACTGCTTTACTGTGCTGCTAAAACTACACACATCACCTTCAAATTCTGTTGCTATCTTATTGACATCATCTGCATTATGCATAGTCAATCTATTCAATAAACTGATTGATTTGGAGTTGCCCTTTTAAATGCACTACTGGTCAAAAGGACAAAAGTTTCTAAAAAAAAAAATTAAAGAATTTTTTTAATGTTTTTGAAAGAAGTCTCTTATGCTCACCAAGGCTGCATTTATTTGATTAAAAGTAAAATAGTATTGTGAATTTTTTATTTTAAATAACTGCTTTCTATTTCAATGAATGTTACTTTGACTTTGAATCAAATTTTTTACTTATTAATTTGTACTCAATAGTTTTGGGTTGGCATGATTTTTTAAATATTTTTTAAATGTCTCTTATCGGTACTTTTGCAAAAAAAAATATTACAATTTGAAATACTAAGTTTTCTATTTGACTACATTTTAAAATTTAATTTAATCATGTAATGCAAAGCTGAATTTTCAGCATCATTACTCCAGTCTTCAGTGTCACATGATCCTTCAGAAATCATTCTAATATGCCAATTTAATGCTCAAGAAACATTTCTTAATATCAATGTTAGAAACGGTTGTGCTTCATAATATTTCTGAGGAAACCGTGATATATTTTTCAGGATTCTTTGATGAATAGACTGTTCAAAAGAACAGCATTCATCTGAAATGAATGCAACAGACATTATAAATGTATTTACTGTCACTTTTATTCGATTAAATGCATCCTTGCTGAATAAAAGTAATAAATTCTTTTAAAATCTTACAGCAAACTTTTGAACGGTAGTGTAAGTACAAATCAGAATTCAAATAAAAGTGACTAAAACAGACATACGCTGCACTTTTGAACTTGGGTAAAGTTTCACCGTGAAAGCTTTAGGAAACAAAAAGAGAGTATCAGACAGTATAACAGAGATTTACTTCAAAGACAGCTGAGCTTTCAACAGTAAACAACTCGGCTCTGAAACGGGACAAAAGTTCATGTTTAGTGCAACAAATCCAGTTCAAGTGGTGAATGCGTAAATCACCACGGACGTCCTGCGAACCTGAGGCCGGTTCGGTCGGGCCAATTCAAACAGAATTAAAGAAAAGATAACTCTGAAATCCCAGCCTGATGCGCAAGTCAAGCGTGACATTACAGCAGGGTTGCAACTCGTGCGACTGTACTGTAGACCGCAGTCCGCTTTCAATCTCAATCCACTCAAGTGGTCGTCAATTATCACATGACCACCTCTTTAATAAGATAATCTTATTTGAACAGAAACCCTGCAGATGGCAGACATATGCTTTCATGTGTGCTCAGCTGCCTTTTATAAGAGACACTTTGAGATTTATCCATCATTGTTTTGCCACAATCCTGCATGAAAGCGGCGCTCTTTCTAGTGCACATCGTTGAAATGCACCTGAGAAAAAAATTTATGTGGCGAAAAGACAAGAACCTGGTCGAAAACATGTGTTATAAATATGCAGCATCGCTGGTTTGAGGCCGCAATAGCACAAAAGCCCGCCACGTTCTTCGATTCCTGTCAAAACTTCTGTTTCCACTGGAGAGTAAACAGAAATAAAACACAAGGAGCATCTGAGAGCAATTACAGCACAACAGCACCCAAAAAATGACTAAAGACAACATGGATGCCGTTATCCACGAAACCACAATCTCGGATAAGTAAAGCAAAAGCCAGTTTTGGAGGTGGAAACAAATAATTCACTCGCAAACACGTGTTTTTAGTGTTGTTTTTTAGCCATCGTGTGCGATTGTAAAAGCTTCTTGGGTTTTCTCATTAATGACCTTGAGAACATGTGGTGTGTAAGTCTTTGATTTAGATCAGTTACAGAACAGATGTATGCTGTGCCCTCGAGGACAACAGCGGACACTGTACACAAGTCAACACACACAATAAACACATCTGAAATCAAGAAGTGTAAGGAAGAGATTACAAAGGAAAGGAAATGGGAGCAATATGAGGTCTGATGATGAAGAACAAGTAGTGTGAGTGTGTGTGTGAATGTGTGTACAAATGTATGTATGTTTAGTAATGGGCTTAGGTTGGTTTTGCATTATTCTCCAGGCCTTTCATGGTTCTGACTCGTCCGTAGGGCAGAGAGGAAAACTGGTTTGAGTCTAACTGCTGCCCCTCTGGGGTCCTTCATTTCAGAGTCACACTCAGGACCTTCGGGTCCAAATGGGCCGGAAAGGTGGGATTAATATTTATTTTTAAAAAAAATCATCTTTTTTTTTTTTTACTTGTTTTTTGTATTTTTTCTTTTCTTTTTTGGTGTTTTGAGATAATTTCAAAAATAAAAATGATTTATAATTAATATTAATGCAATAATTATGACCCATTTTTTCCCCATTGAATATTATTATTTTATTTATTTTTTAAAGCTGTATTTCATTTTAGAGTCAAGCCTAGGCCTCGTGAAAGCAATTTTTGAAATGAGATGGATGCCGTCTGATGGACAAACTGAGCATTTTAAAAATTCAAAACCCATATTTGAATTAATTAGTGTGTATGTGTATAAAAGTGTGTTTGTGTGTGTGGATGTGTCTATTTTGCACTCTTGATGTTTTATAGATTCACCCCTTCACTGTTGTGTGCTTTTTTCTGGATCGTGGCTGATTTGTAGATTGTACGCACAAAATAACTGTATTTTCACATTTTTGCCAATTTCCCATTCATTTCCTATGCGGGTCCATTTGGACCCGAAGGTCCTGAGTGTGACTATTTTTTTTACAACCACTTAGACTATTCAAATCCTGTCCCAAATTTTTTTGGGTGTTCATATACCAAGTACCAACAAAGTCACCAAATTTCGGACCATTCCGATAAAGCAATGATTTAAAAAAAAAAATTTATTTAAATGCTTCGGGTCCATTTGGGCCGAAGGACCCCAGAAAATAATGAATGAAAATTCATGCATTCATGCATTTCAGGACAGTTGCAGAAATAAAAGTTTAAAAATAAAAGAAAACAAAAAATGTCACAATATGAACAAGAGTGTCTGCTTCCTCAAAACAATGATAATTGATTGCAAATTAAATTGTTGTTCAAATGAATTTGTAATAAAAAAATGTACTTGAAATGAACGACAATGATTTTACAGGACTGATGTCCAGGTCAACATATCACACACATTACCATTCAAAAGTTTGTCTTTTAGTCTCGCTCACCAAGGCTGCATTAATTTGATCAAAAACACAGTAAGAACAGTAATACTGTGAAACAGTATTACAGTCATTTTTAATCAATTTAGTGCATCCTTACTGAATAAAAGTATTCATTTATATGCATTTAAAAACTATGTATACAAAATATTTGCTCAAAATAAACAAAATCATCAATGCGTCATCAATCCTTCTTCCAAAACATGTTTTTGTCGTACCCTGATTCGGCAAGCCTGTTATAATTGTTAATATTTTAGACCTGTCGGGATGGTCTTCGTGGGAAATTGAACAAAAGTCTGGTCATATCCGTAAACAGAGTAAAGTTGCTCCGGCTACTTTGACGTGTGTCTGGTGTGAGAGTGGCAGAGGTTAGTTGTCAGAACGAGCGAGAAAGGTTTTTACATGGAGCCGCTAAATCTCCAAGCTCAGGTGAATCTCCCGTTTTAATCAAACGCCGAACAGAGGAGAGTCTGCTGGAGAAAAGAGAGCGCGACAGAGCTCGTAATAAAACAAGAATCAACATTGGCTTGGCTTTTCGGAGATGGCGAGAACTGAGGGATTTGTAATGTTGTAAAAACAACACGAAGATGGTGTTTTTATTACTCAACATGTGAGTAAGGTGTTTTAGATAAATTGACGCTAACAGAGTTCATTGTGAAGCATTATCTATTGTTAAGGTTCATTTCATTATTGTTGTAGCGCTGTGCTGGAATTTATTTCCAAGAAAGTAGCGTGTCTATTAACGGGTAAAGCTACAGTAACATCTTCAGCTAGTCAGCTTGAAATCCTTTCCATCTAAACTGGTTATATCTCCTAAGCCTAGTAAATGTTTTATGAGCAGTAGGATAATCTTTCTCTCTTTCAGCTAATAGGCACTGAAATTCACACAGCGCTGTCATACAGGCCTCATTACACTCTGAATATTTCGCACAGGTCGCATGAAGGCCCTTTTTGACCATTTCCAGGCCTTGGTCACTGTGTGCTTCCATTGCATGTTCTCAATGGAAAAACGTAAGTCATAGAGGTTTGGAACAACAGGTTACTCAGACAAGCCTGTAAGCAAACACACATTTCAGTGCGTGTCTTATGTTTTAGCTCAGCCTAAATCTGGTGTTAAATATTTTCACGACTTGTTTACTCATGTGGTGTGACGGTGGTTAAGAAAGTCAAGTCGTCACACCAGTAATTAGAGGGCTGCTGGTTTCAGTGTTGCGCCAGAACCAAATGTTTTCTGCTGTGGATGTGGATTCAAACACATTTGGTCAAGACAATCTTCACTTAATGCCAAACTTTCATTGTAAAGAAGAAAGCACAGATCTGTGTATATGTAACGGCATGGAAATTGGATGACTCTTTATAGGAATCATTCATACGCATGGACCACAAAAACTTAAAAACTTCAATACAATGAAAGCATGCAAGTTAGCCTGACTTCGTCATACTCATATTCTAGTCAATGTGAGTCTGATGCTGCTCTATAGGGCTTTGATTATGAGGCGTGTCTTAACCGAACCAGGAAAAAAAACCTCTGCACTCAATTGGATAGACCAACAACCAATCAGAGCAACGCAGTAAGTGACGTATGTTGAGCTACGCATAGTTGTCAACAGAAGTCAACTGCACGCACGCTGGAAGAAGTAGTAAAATAATGAGTGTTGCTTCTTTTACTTGGTCCTCCATGAGTGCGACCAAAGGAG